ATTGGTTGCCTTCGCTATCTCCTACACACACGACCAGGCATGTCTTTTGCCGTTGGTGTCTTAAGTAGGTATATGCATGAGCCTAAAGAGAGTCACTATGTTGCGTTAAAGCAGGTCTTACGCTATCTAAAGGGAACATTCACATATGGTCTCACTTTCATAAGGACAAGTCACATGGAGTTGATAGGATATTCAGACAGCTCACAAAATGTTGATGAAGACGATGGGAGAAGCACGACGGGTCACCTATTCTACTTAAATGATTGCCTGATCACATGGTGCTCACAGAAGAAACTGTTGTTTTATCCTCGTGTGAAGCTGAGTTCATGGCGGCCACAGAAGCAGAAAAACATACCATATGGTTGCAAGAGCTTCTTGCAGAGGTACTTGAGAAGGCTAGCAATAAGGTGACGATAAGATTGGACAACAAATCAGCGATCGCGCTCACAAGGAATCCAGTTTTCCATGGACGCAGTAAGCACATTGACAAGAGATACCATTTTATAAGAGAGTATGTGGACAACAATCAGGTGGAAATGGAGCACGTTGCAGGGACATTACAGATGGCTGACTTTCTAACAAAAGCCTTGGGAAGAATCAAATTTAAGGAAATGAGAAATTTTATTGGAGTTCAAGATGTGAAGGACACTGACTTCAAGATTAGAAGGGTGAATGTTGAGGATAATCTTGAAGATAGCTTGGTTTCTAAGCTAAACTAAAGAATATTCGGTTGAGTTATTAGAATCTTTTGTTGTGGTTTTTATAGTTATCCAAATGAGATATACTACGTGGGATTTAAGTTTATCATTTCTCTATATGAAGATATGCAAGTGTGTTTGTGTATCTTGTGAGATTTAGAGATTAAGTTTGTGAGAGATTGAATTTTGAGAGAGTTTCTTAAGTTAATGAGAAAGGTGTTTTTTATAATCTTTGAGTCTTATCGTTAGATTGAAACAATAATTTTTGTGTGTACATTCTATCATAAACATTTCCCATCCAATCAACTTTTAAAGGCGTGGGGTGGATTACATCTAAAATATTGCGTGTTTTAAAAATTTCCTTAACCACTATCTAAGAATTAGAAACGATTAGAAGAAATAAATTAAAACCCGAACTTACAATCCAAAAATCAATATCATGTACTTAGTTGCTATCATCGCAACAATCGCTGTTATGATTTGACAATGTTATACCACACATCTCTTCAAGGCCAAAGTGTTTAGGTTGGGAGGGACAGTAGACCTTGTTTGCTATTTTAAATGTTCCAATCCCAAATAAAAAGTATACACTTGAGGACCCGCTTCAAAGCCCTCACAAATCAAAAGTATGTTTCAAGTACATCAAATCATTATCATGGAACCTCTTTTGTCGTGTTCCGTCGACAGGATTAATTATGTTAATCGTTCAGCATATTGTTATTATCTATTTTTGGTCAGACCATAGTTATTATGTTGATCTGAATATCAATTCAGTCCGTTGTTTGTGCACCAAATTCAATCTGTTTAATTTCACATTTCACTGACTGGCTGTTGGATAAATAACCTAAAACAGTTATTTATGTTTCATAATTTTAAATTTATCATTGATAAGTTATGTATATGTGGACTTAAACTAGTATTAGATTTAGCATCATGTTACTCCTTTGAGCTCAATATAATATGTACAGTTATTTTAAAGTATCCATGTATACAGTATAGTAAACAACTCATCCGTGAAAAGAAAAACAACAGAAAGTGATGTTTGTTCTGTGTTTCCTACTGATTAGGAATTTAGGAAGCAAATGAAATTATTTCTTCCACTTCATACTTTAAACAAATCTATTAATTAAGATCCCCTCACAAAAGGCTAATAACTGTCTTAACTATTAAAAATAAGCACTTCGGGTCTTAATATAACAAATATGATAATGGTCCCAGTTATCCATTTATTATCAAGGCACATTGAATCGGACCATCGAGACGAATACACGTCGTACCATATATAATACACAATTACACATGCATATATTAATATCAATAGAACTATCAAAGCAAAGTTATACTTTTACAGGTTGGTGTGTTTGGCAAAGGGGTTCACTTCTAACAGCTTTTCTTTTTAATTATAAATTCTGACTATTTAATACGATTAGTGGTAGACTGTGTAGTAGGGTTAGATTTGTAGATGATGAAAAAATGTGGAGGTTCAGAAATTGATGTGTGCTTTTTAATCCTGAACTTGCGTGCCTAATCCTCACTTTTGCCAGCATGTTTATGGATTGTTTTTTTAAGTGGGCCCATTCAATTTTCGGCCCAAGTATTTTTAAAATCCTTAATTGATTAAGCTAAACCATTGATATTATTTATTTACGATTTACCACGGATCGGAACATGCGCGCCTTTTTTGGATCAGAGACCAAGCTCCGTACGGTTTGAATAATAGGAAAACGGCGTTCAGGACATCATCATTATTTGTTTTTTCCCTTGCCCGTTTCAAAACGAATATCCGAAATTAACAAGAAAATTCTGTTTTATAACATATTAACCCTATACAAGTTCAGGATATATAGTAACAAAATATACTTCTCACTTGAAAAGTCACTAATTATTTTCTTTTTGTGATCAAAATGGCCTAATTGGATAATATATTACTGCTCTTATTATACATACAACAGTTAATGGTTAGCTATAGAAAAGTGTAAATGCATTAGACAGTATTTTACAGTCAGACATTCCAAACATATTACACCAGTTGTGTAAGATGTAACTGATCACTTAATTAAGTCAGATGCACCAATCACAATATTTATGTAACATCAATTTTATCTGTGTGAAGTTCACATGTACTAAATTCACAAACTATATATATATATAGACATGGGCACTGAGTGGATATCCAAACAATTTGCAGTATTCGTGATCCGTTCCGTACCAAATGAATACTTATATTTGCAATTCACTTCGATCTAGAAAGTTCCGGATATCATGTATTCATTTAGGTATTCAGGGATTATTCAATTTGATATGTTAATCATATTAAAAATTAAATAAAAATAACATAGGAATTTAAAATTAAATAAAAACTTCATGATACCATAATAAAAATAATAATATAATACTAAAAACTAACATTTTAAAGGAAATTGTAAATAAAAAAATCAATATTAACAAGCCTATAAAAACTCAGTTGTTAACATTTGACTCTACATAAAAATTAAATTTTATATGCAATAACCCAAAACAAAAATCTGAAAATCAGTTTAATATAAAAACTAACCAAACTTATATCATAAATATGTATAGATATAATGGTACAACCAGCTATATTACATATCTATCAATATACGGATCGAATCGGATATTCAACTTTACAAAATTAATATTTGTGATTTTATTTGTTTTCTATGAATATCATATTTTTGTTATATGCTTTGATTCAAAGCTTTATGGTTATCCGGATCATATCGAATCGAATAACTGATCAGATGTCTAACTTTAGCTATATACAGTAGAACTTCTATAAATTAATATTCGATAAATTAATAATCTCTGTAAATTAATAAATTTCGGCGGTCCCAACTTGTACCGGTTCAAAATTTGACACAAATCGATAAAATAATAAGATAATAATTTCTCAGAAAATTTTATGTAAATATATGATCTCGCATTAAAACTATAAATTAATAAATTATATGTATACATATTTTATATAAGTAAAAACCTATATTATATTGTTTGTTTTATATTCATAATAGAATTATCTTTATATTTTCTTAACAGTTAATACATTTTGATGACATTTAATAATTTTATATTTAAATTCACATTTACATTCTTTTCAATATGTATTATATACACCAAATAATATAATAAAATAAAAAAATAATAGTTAATGTTTATACACTAAAATCAAATATTTTTTTATCTTAAAATAAATATATCTTAAGAGAAAAAATCTAAATGAGGAAAATTTCGTAATTAAATATCTCCATAAATTAATAAAATTTAAAAATCTCAACATTATTAATTTATAGAGATTTTATTGTATAGTGATCGGTCTCCATAGTAAGCTTAAATTAATGATGTCAAGATTAAAGATGCAGTGTTCAAAAAAGAATAAAAACAAAATACATAAGTATATAACCATGCAGTGTGCACAAAAAAAAGCTATAACCATGCAGTAGAACTAAAACAGTAGTTCTTCAACAACTCTCCATCAACGAAAACCCATAGAAAATTTCTAATAGGACATAAACTATTCGGCAGTTGAAGTTAGTTTATAGGAAACAAATATATATAGGGATAATTATCCATCTAAGTGGAAACTTTAAGAAAACTAAGAGAAGATCTTGAACTAAGTAAGGTTAATCGATCGAAAAAAGAAAAAAAAAATAGAATCACAAAACTAGATATTGACAGCACACCACCATAAGTAATGGAAGTTAACATATCATTTGATTTGATTTGATTCAATTCATCCAGCAGTATTTAGTGCTGTTTATTTCAATTGAGTATTAAATGATAGAGAAATAGGTAACTAATTTTTACAGTTGAAAAATAGGTAATTAATTTGTACAGTTAAAAAAAATAGGTACAGTAATTAATTTGTAAAAACAAAAGAGAATTTGTAGTTAATTAAAAAAAATGTTTAGTGGATTTATAAGTGAAAAAAGGAAACGGAAGCGGGAGGTTTGGGGGATAAGCCAGGTTCGGAGGGTGAAGGGTGAAGCGCCTCTTTCTCCCCCTCCGCTAGATATTTTTTATTTATATAAAAATAATAATAATAATCTAAAGAAAGGGAGTGGGGAAAGTGTGAGGGAGAAAGTGAGGGAAAAATTTAATTTCAAAAGAGAGAGCGAGATAGACCCCTCCCTTCTCTTCCTCCCTCACCATCCTTTCTTTTCTTATATATATAAACCGCAAATTTCTCTCTTCCTCACATAGTCTCTCCTCTCTTATACAAAACAATCTTCACCAATCTCCCGAAAATTCTCCAATCGCCTCGAGAATTTTCCAGAATCGGAGATGAGTGATCTTCCGTTTTCCGTAGTATCCATCGTCGAAGATGTTCTTCAACAGCATAGCACCCGATCAAACGACGCCGGGTTCTTGGTTCCCCGGAGAGTCGAGGAATCTTGTTAGTTTCTCACCCTTCCTTTTTTCGTTCAATTTCGGTTATTTCAATCTGGAGATAATTAATAATGATTTTGAGCTTAATAAAGAGATTAATTGTGCTATGTTATCATCGGAATTTAAAGTCTCTCTATGTTGTTGTTGCTGATTCTTAATATTTTAGATGAATCTCTTTGCTGTGTAGCTTTAAGAAGATACGAAGCTGCCGGGTGGCTTAGAGAAATGATTGGAGTTTCTGGCGGTAGAGACTTCCCCGCGGAGCCTTCTGAAGAGGATTTTAGGCTTGGATTACGAAGCGGGATAGTGCTTTGCAATGTTGTTAACAAAGTTAATCCTGGATCTGTCTCTAAGGTTAAACTTCGCTCTTCTTCTTAAAAATGTTGATCTTTAGTTTATTAGGTTTGTGTTTTTTGGTGGTTACAATGTGAAACCAAATAGATACATAGTTAAGATTGATACATTGCATTGATTTGTGTGGAGGATTAAAAGCATTTTTTTCCTACAGGTTGTTGAAGCGCCTGATGATGTTGCAGATGGAGCTGCACTCTGTGCTTTCCAGTACTTTGAAAACATCAGGAATTTTCTTGATGCTATTGGGAAAATGGGTTTGCCTTCATTTGAAGCTTCTGACATGGAGAAGGTAGAAAAAAAGTGAAGATTTTTAGAATATATAGACGTTTAGCTTTTCCATCATTTTTTATTGTAACATATTATGTTTCAGGGAGGAAAGTCTATAAGGATAGTGGACTGCATCCTTACACTTAAATCTTACAACGAGTGGAAACTGAAAGGTGGAACTGGGACCTTTAGGTATGGATCCAACATGAAGAATAATTTTGGATCCAAAACACCATTTCTGAGGAAAAGCTCAGAGCCGTTTATGAGCTCCATGTCAAGAACTCATCCATCGACTGATCAACCTGCTTGTTCTGATGTTGGGCAAGAAGTGAGTGTTAAGTTGGAAATGTTTGTTTCTGTGGCATAGTTTGTGGTGGTTGTTGACAATAGTATCTCTGTGCAGGGTGATTCTAGATCTATCAACGCGCTAGTTCGCTCGTTTATTGCAGACAGAAAGCATGAAGATATTCCAAGTGTAAGAATTCTGTCTATAGTTAATTGCAGTGGTCTTTGTTGAATGAAAGCTTTCTTCTTGGCATTGATCTGTTTAAGCTTCTTTGGAGATTAAACTGATCTGATGTCTATCTTTTGCAAACGTAGGCTGCCAACTGTTAGTAAGACTAGTAGACGCTATTTTACAAATTCTTATTGGAAAATCTGATTTCTTTTATACTTCAATCTGCTCAGGTTGTAGAGTCTGTATTGCACAAAGTTATGGAAGAAGTCCAGCAGCGGTTGTCAATTCACAATGAAATGGTGAGGGCAAGTGGGTTAGTCATGATGTTATTTTCTTTGGAGTGAAAAATGTCAGTTAGTCCTAGATAGTTATGTTGCTTGATGATGTTATGAAACCTTTTTTTTTTTAATTTACTTTTTTTTTCAGATGAAATCAAGTTCAAAGCTTATTCCAGAAGATGATTCATCCAGCGAGACAGTGCTACAGTCGCAGCAGTGTGACATAAGACAACATGAGGAAGCAGAAGAAAATAGTCCGTCACAGGTCGTAGAAGAAAAGATCGAAAGAGTAAATTCTGAACACTACGAAGAACATGAAATTCTTCTAAATCAACAAAAGCACATCCAGGTAACTTCCACTGTGTTGCAACTTTATGGCTTTGGGGGATTTAACAGCATATTGGAAAATGCTGCTTGTATCTTCTATTCTCAGTATAGCAATTACAAGTTAGAAGGAGCTTGAGTTTTGTTTAAATGCCTGCAGGAATTGAAGCAAACTTTATACACTACGAAAACGGGAATGAAACTACTGCAGAAGAAGTATCAAGAAGACTTTCTTCACCTAGGTGTCAACTCAGATCATGTTTTTGCTATGTCCCTGTTCAAGCCTCAAGTTTATTTAGTGAATACATAACGTGTTATCGTTTTGGGTTGTCACACAGGCACGCATTTGAATGGTTTAGCTTACGCGGCTACGGGATACAAAAGAGTTCTTGAAGAAAACCGCAAATTGTACAACCTAGTGCAGGACTTAAAAGGTAACTTCACAGAAAAATTGATCTGTGTCAGTCAGTCTTGGAGGATACTGAATCAGTTCCTTTTAGTCCTTTTATCTGCGTAAAGACCTCACTCTTGGTAATTATTAGGAAACATACGGGTGTACTGTCGGGTTAGGCCATTCATGCCCGGGCAACAAACTAGTTTGAGTACCGTGGAAAACATAGAAGAAGGGACTATCACGATCAGAGTGCCATCAAAGTATGGGAAAGAAGGACACAAACCATTCATGTTCAACAAAGTCTTTGGTCCTTCTGCAACACAAGGTTATAGAAGGCTTTGATTTTATGATCGTATAATGTTTATTTGATTACGTTTCTCTGTGAATAACATTAGTGAATGAATCCATTGTTCTTCAGAGGAAGTGTTTTCAGACATGCAGCCTTTGGTACGGTCGGTTCTTGATGGCTACAATGTCTGCATCTTTGCTTACGGCCAAACCGGGTCAGGGAAAACCTTTACCATGGTAATAGCTGCTACTATACTTGTCGTGCGATCCTTCGTAGATGCATAGATTATTGTTGATTCAATATACAATGGAGCTTGGAATCTTTCTACAACACCGAACTCCTAAATTTTTTGAACTATTCTAGTCAGGGCCCAAGGAACTGACTGAAGAAAGCCTAGGTGTGAACTACAGGGCACTAGCAGACCTGTTTCTCTTATCGGATCAAAGAAAAGACACGACCAGCTACGAAATCTCGGTTCAGATGCTTGAAATTTACAACGAGCAAGTCAGAGATCTACTTTCCACAGATGGCCATACTAAAAGATATCCTTAATAGCAGCTTTACTGTCTCTTCATCTTTCAAGAACTATGAGATACTTTAATTTTGTTTTATCCTTAACTCTTGATTACGTTGGAAATCAGAAACAACACTCAGAATGGAATTAACGTTCCGGAAGCAAATCTAGTGCCTGTCTCATCGACGGATGACGTTATACAGCTGATGGATGTCGGACAAATGAACCGTGCAGTGAGCTCTACAGCCATGAATGACAGAAGTAGTCGATCTCACAGGTTTGGTTTTCCTTCTATTGTTTCTTGAGTACTCCGTTGCATAGCTCGTTCTAACCCCCCCCAATATCTTCATATACTTGGCAGCTGTGTCACTGTTCATGTTCAAGGCAGAGACCTCACATCTGGGGCTATCCTCCATGGTTCTATGCATCTGGTTGATCTTGCAGGAAGCGAGAGAGTGGACAAGTCCGAGGTGACTGGAGACAGGCTGAAGGAGGCTCAACACATCAACAAATCCCTTTCGGCTCTTGGAGATGTTATCTCTTCGCTTTCCCAGAAGACTTCTCATGTGCCTTACAGAAATAGTAAACTCACCCAGCTGCTGCAGGACTCCCTCGGTAAAATTCTCAAAGCCCTCATAACTTGTAGCATTTGTGTATACTCGCACTCGAATCTTATACAAAACATATGCGTATTTTCATTCCAACTTCTGTTTGTATGTTATCAGGAGGATCAGCCAAAACGCTGATGTTTGTTCACGTTAGTCCAGAAGCTGAAACTGTTGGAGAAACTATTAGCACTCTCAAGTTTGCTGAACGAGTGGGGAGTGTTGAGCTAGGCGCTGCTCGTGTGAACAAAGATAACTCAGAAGTCAAGGAGCTTAAGGAACAGGTTCTTAAACCATACTTTGATTCTCCTGCATACTTATTTTCTGTATTCTAATCCTACTACTAATCTGATCGTGTTCTGTGGGGATTTCAGATTGCTAATCTTAAAATGGCTCTAGCGAGGCAAGGAAATGGTAATGGTAATGGTAATGGTAATGGTAACGAGGCCCAACCAACCCCTCCACCACAAAACCGTGAGAGAATCTCGAGAAGAAGATCACTTGAAACTCCAATCTTTCGACCTAAAAATCCTACCATGGGAAACGCACCAAGCAACCTTAAGCCCCAGGTTATGGATCTAAGTGGACCAGAGGTATGTATGCTTCCAAGAGTAACCAAAGTAGCTCAAGAATTAAAGTAACTGGAATTTACAAATTCATGTAAATTATTATGCAGGCTTTTAGTGATACTGCATCTTCAAGAAGACACAGCTTAGATCTCCATGAGCTAACGAAATCTTCTATTCCATCTTGGCCGAGGCAAACTCTCGACACAAAAGAAGAGGATAGAGAGTTTAAGTCAGGGGAGTGGATCGATAAGCACGCAGAGTTGTTGAATCAAGATGAGAATTTAATTTCTCCCGATAAACTCTACCAGTCAATGACTCCACTACAACAATCACTGTATGCTACTCACATTTCATTTAACCAAACTTTAGATGTGTCTCTCTGCACCTTGTTATTGTTGATCTCTTAACTTCTTTTTTCAAATGACAGAAACGGTGGGAAACAAGATTTTGAAGTGCAGAGTATTACAGATAACGAATCTGATGGAGTAGCAAGCGATTGCTCAGATTCTGATTTGATGTGGAGACTGAACGTTCAAGTGAATGTACCCAGAGTTTCTAGTAAACAAAGTTCAGCAAACCCCAAACCAAAGAAAATTAAGCCAAAAACTACCAAAGTCTCAGAAACCAGGTTAATACATCCATAAATTGTTAATAACTGTTTGTAATATTTTCTTTATTGTTGTTGATTTGATCAGGAATCTTTTGTCTTTTTTCTTGTGGCAGAAGTTTTATTCCATCGCTGATCCCAGCACCAAGCAAGAGACCTCCTAACACCGTGAGTTCGCAGCCGCAGCGACCAGCCAGAGATGGAAGACGCAGACTGAGTTTAGGCAAGTGAACATGTTTTCACCATTTTTTCTGTAAAGAGTTCAATCAGTGAGACAACAAAAAAGGATTTGTTTTTGTATATTGTGCGCAAGTTCTCTCTGTTTGTTCAAAAGACAAAATCTCAAATTTGCTGCTTTGAGTGTACAAAGAATCGTACCTTATTATACAATCATCTTTTGGATCTCAAACTTATGTGTATGCATTTATAATTGGGAAAATTTGGAGAAATGCATTCAAATAAAAATGAAATTTGAAAACTACACTTTTATTTAATTTTTGGAAAATACACTTATATATATATATGTAATATAAATTTATCTAATTACCTATTCTTAATATTTCTTAATTTCTAATATATTGTTTAAAACTCGATTTAAAAAAATAAAAACAAACCGTTAGAGAATCAATACCTTTAAAACATGATCATTCTCTTTAATAAGATTTTTATGTTTTCTAAAACTATCCTTAATATTATGAACTGGAAATTTGATATTTTTATTCTGCGCCTAAAAACTAAATATTAATAGGTTTTATTAATGGACCAAATTCACCTTCTAATTATTAGCTTGCTGGTCCTGCCCCATTTGACTCGCCACGGAACGAGTCAATCGATATTTGAAAAAACTAAGTTGCGGGTACGGATGCAGGTCAAATATATTTTACGCAGGACGGATACATATTGTTCTAATTTCAATTATGGCTATCCGGTAATCTGCAAAAATAGATTTTTTAAAAAAATTAATTTTCAAAAATATAATAAATTTCGTTAAAATAATGATTTTTTTACAAAATAAAAAATTTAGTTAGAAATATAATATTTAATATTATTTTAGAAAAAAAAAATTATTTTTATTATTAATAATTATCCGCAGGTTCCGCGGATTATCCGCAAAAATAAGTGGGGCGGGTACAGCTAAAATTAATTTTCTTTGCGGGTCAAGCGGGTCGGGCATGGAGAGTTTAACCCGCTTCCCAACACCAAGCGTAGTTAATTGATATTATTTTTCTAAAATAAAACTACACAATTACATATAATACATTTACATAGATATTGATGATAATAATAAATTAAAATCTACAACAATTTTAGAAAGTTATATCAGACAAGAACATTTTATATCATCAAAGCAAAAAAAACTTATCGATCCATCTGTAGATATAACAACAAAAATGGTAACCACGCTTTTTAAGCGCGGATCAAAAATCTAGTATATCAATTATCCCTTTTAACATATCTATTCAATATCTTTTCATATCTTTTAATAATATTTTATTATTTTGAAAAATAAAGAATCTAGGACGACGTCTTCTTGTCTCCTTCATTCTTGCTATCTTCTCCATTTCTGAAAAAAATATTCTTTCCACTGATTCTTCCTTTCATCTCATTAAGAGAGGTTTGTTGATTCATGAAACAAATTTCAGTTTCAAATTCTGATTTTATTGTATTCTGACAATAGTTCTGATATTTTTAATAGGATAATCATGTTTTATTAGCGTGAGTTTTAGGAGAGTCGAAGATGAATAATGAATCATGGAAATTCATGGTGAATACAAGAGCATGAGATAAAGTATTTACCATTAAGGAAAACTTGAAGTTTGACGAGATAGTTCAGATGGTTCATGAAGATTCTGGCATCAATAGGTTTGGTAATGAGTTAGAACTTAGCTATGCACTACTAGAATCAATGCTTCAAGATATGCCTAAGGATACGCCTCCTGTTTTTCTGAACAATGATAGTCAATGGAATTCTATGTGTGAAATGTGTAAGTCCATACCTCTGCGTCTTTGCATCTCGGTGAAGAATGAAATACTACATAACCATGATAAAGATACTGCAATGGTCAATCGTGAAGATATTGCAACAGTCAAGAATAAGAATAAGAATGTCAATAGACAGGATGATAATCAAGAACCAGAAGTGGATGTTTCAAATTTTCATGATCAAAGGTCATTGAAAAGGGTCAATGGTTCAAGAATAAAGCAGAACTGTCTTGGAGTATACATATGCTTTCAATTGAACGCAAATTCAGAATTGTTGTCAGCAAGTCAGACAAGAGGTTGTTAGTTGTCAAATGTGGAGACACAAGCTGGAAGTGGATGGTTAGAGCTAACAAGACTAATTCGACAAGTGAGTTTTTCTGGGTAACAAACTACATCGACAAACATACATGTTTTTCCAGAAACATTGGTGGACCGAGAGCTTCTTCCAAAGTTATAAGTAAGCTTCTTCTGGAAAACTTTGGGAATTCAGGTCTAAATATGAAACCAGAGTTGATTTCGAGTACTATGAAAAAGAGATATGGTCTTGGTTCAAAATATTGAAAGATATGGAAAGCTAGGGAAGATGCTCAGACAAAGGTATTAGGTTCTCTAGAAAGTAGCTATGAGCAGCTTCCAGTTACATGCATAAGCTTGTTAAGGCTAACCTGGGTACTGGGTTGCAAGTTCAAACAACCTGCTGCATATGCTCTACACATCTGGAAACAAGGGATCATTTGATGCTCTCTTGTCCTTATGCTATGGTATTATGGCCAGAAGCTCGACGCAATTTCCGAGACACTCCTCCGATCTCCAATGATTGGTCAGAGGTTATGCACAGACGTTATCCTGCTCTTCAAATACACCCTCATACTTTCGTATGCTGGTGATCCAAGCGCTAAATAACATGTTTCACAAGTAGAAGTTGGTTCCCCCTCAGGTGGTCTTCAAAGAAGTCAATAGACATGTCATCAATATAAATCTACGCTTCCAGGAAGCGCAAGAAATTTGGTTGTCTCATGCAATTGTGGCTCAAATAAGATCTAGAGCGACGCTGATGTTCTCTGTGTCATCCCTTGAACTCGTTTGAGGTGTGGAATTTTTTGTTTAAAACTCTATCGATACTCGGTTTTTACATTCTTTTTTTGCGAGGGCATATTTTTTAAAGGTTTACTATCTTGTAGGACAACCTTATATTTCTTAATGGAAAATTAACATTCTTAGCAAAAAATAAAATAAAAATAAAAAATCAACATATTTCAACTCAAATTTCTCAGTCATGAGTTATGAAAAACTAGGAAATAAACACATACTCTCATGAGTTCAATTAAAAAAAAACACATATGCTATTAAATAGAAAAGAAAACTGAAAACGTAAGTAAAAACATCTTAAAACGTGAAAGACAGTGAAAAACAGAAAAAAAACACGTCCTAAATTTTTTAAAACCAAACAAAGCTTTCTAAAAATCATGAAAATGATTTTCTTCATCGAACATATCAATTGCAAGCTATTTTCGGATAAATTCGATGTTAGCATCACACAGTTCAGCCTCCATATATAAGTCTAATGCAAAATATTCGATATATCTGATAGAATAGACACCACAATCACCAGATTGTATGTTTTGTGGAATCTTCTTACACCTTATAATTTTGTACTCAACATCACGTAAAGATGTTTGGTCAGCTGGGGAAGCCAATGATCTGATAAGATGTGGAATCATCATTGCATATGGCTTCACAAACTCTGTTATCTCATCATCTCTAGAGAGCATCAAGCTACTGTCGTACACTTCAATGGTACATTGATATAGCCAAAGCGATCCAGTGCACATTCTTAATGTTCAACACTACATACGCATCATCGACATCAACACCAAATCTCTTATGTGTTCTTTCACATTTAGGTAGAATACCATTGTAGTAGTTGATAAAATCAGGGCTCCACTCAAAGTTCTTTGGATCTTCCAAAATTTTTTGATAGCTCTTCAAGATCAGCAACGTAAATGGTATATCCAGAAACGCCAATCTCTTACTGTGAAAAGGACATGATTTTTCTCCTTACTTTCTTTTCAAAAGAGACATACCAACGTCACTGCATCAAACAAATATAATTTATTATATGTATACTGAATGTTTTCAATTATAAAATCATTTATAATATACTTACTTCTTCACTTAACCAAACCCTTGGTGCAATAAGCTCAGCAAATTTTTTTTGTCAGTCTTTTTGATGCCCAAATTAATTGGTATATCTCTGCAATTCACAATGTAGATGATAAGATAGATATTACTAACAAATCACTAAATACTTGTTTGAAAATACTAACCTCTCTATCTTCATCCATGAATCAAACCATGCATTTTTACCATGATCCACTAGAGCAAACGAATCATAAGGTTTCATAACTTGCTTACGTCTCCCCATTCCTTCACTAATATCCAGTAGCGTACCATACGTCTTTATTTTCTTATCTATTATCTTCATTTCATTTGTCTTTAATGGTGTTACGCTCAATATTTCGACCGAGGAATTCGTAGACTCTGTTGTATTCAAAGTGGTCTTTGACTCTTTTTTTCATTGTCTGCAAAAAACATCACAATCAACAAAACTTTACAATAATAATCTTTCAAAGATAATAACTTTGCTTACCTTTCTAAAATTTTCCAAGTTTTTGTCAAGATGATTTAGCTTAGCCTTTAGGCGAGAAATTTCAGAACTAAGCTGTGTGAATCCTCTATTCAGAATCTTTTTCAACTCTTTCATATACACATGAAAGTATTTTTTGGATAAGACTTCAATGCAAGGAACACCATTTGTTTTCTGTGACTTTAAATTGTTGGTATGTGTTTGCTCTTCATTTGCCTTTCTTTTTCTGTTATTTCTTTTTTGAATCTTGTATTCCATCTCTACATAAAAATAAATAAATAAAAAGTTGTAAGATATATGAATCAAATCATTGGCCATATAAACAAATTTATATGGCAATTGATATAGTAAACATATTCATGAAATTAAACTATATATAAGTTCACGTAAAGTAGATCAATACACGTAAAGTAAATCAATACACGTAACATGCATGTAACACAAACAAAATATACATATATGTGAACACATAATATTAAAACATACTTGGTTCAGGGTAGATAACAACTTCAAGGAGATGAAAATTTTGTAGAGAAAGAGTAACAAACATGATTTATTTTTCTTTTAACAACGTGACTTGTTTATTTTTTATATGAGCTAGAAGAAAGTAATAAAAGAAGATTTGTATAAATTTCATGATATAGTCTTCAAAACAAATCATAATTCACATATTTATCTTTGTTATTGTAAATTTAAATGTTAAAATAACATGTTTATCTCAACACATATATTATGGGATAAACATAAATTTTTTTTAATGATATTAGTTTATTAATTGGGATAATTATTGAATTTTCTAATTTATATATTAATCTCAAATTTTTTATATTTGTTATTTAAATATCTAATTAGGGTAAAAATATCAATTCACAACTAAAGAAGTGTAATTTACAAAAAGTAAAATGGAAAATGCAATTATCAAAAAAATCAAATTGTTTTGGAGTAATTTAGTAATCATTCCTTTATAATTTGATTTGTTTTAAAGAGATTATTGGCTGAATATACCTTAGTGAATACAAAATTAGGGAACTACCCATAATAAAAAATAACTCATGAACCTTGTAACAATTTATGTATGAGTTTCCCACAATACTCCTAAAACAAAGATATGTACGTTTGAAAGGTGAGGAGAGATAGATTTGGTTTGATCTTCTATAGTACATCTGTAGTCTTTTATAGAGATGTAGGTTTACATAAGAGCATGTTTATTGGAGTTACCCCTAAGTGGGTTCTTAGTGAATAATTAAGTATTAAAACTAAGCTAAGAATTTTTGTTAAGAAACACCTAATTTTAGTGCTCCAATGCTAGTTTCTTAACTAAAAGTTCTTAAAATAAAATTATTAAACATTTTTTTATTAAAGATAAATTTTATTAAGTATATCAATGAATCCAAAGAGATCGAACAATGTGTAAAATCAGAAGCTCAAACCTGCGTGAACATACTTCAGACCACAGAGAAGCTGGTACAAGAAAAACTGATAATGCTCAGGAGTCAAATCATCATTAGCCTTAATCACCTGATGAAGATCAGATTCCATCAACTCAAACACAACGTAAATATCCACGAACTCTCTGTGCGTAAGAGGTAGCATGATGTGCTTAATCTCCACAACATCTGGATGACGAAGCAACCACAGCAAGTTGATCTCTCTGAGAATCCTATTTGCATCAGAGACGTGGTTAAACACATCGTTTATCTTCTTGATAAAAATCTTTCACCAGTGTGTGTGTCTAAAGCAGAAGCCACAACACCATAGTTTCCTTTCCCAACGACTTCTTGAACCTCGTACCTGTTTGATGCACGCCCTAAAGAACTCACTTAACATGCTTTAGGAGTAAAGGAAAAAACACAGAACATACAAACTCACATAACATGCTTGAACTCAGTCTCCTGCACGTCCTAAAGAACTTAAACTGATGATTAAAGGCCAACTTAATGGATCAAAAAAAAAGGATGAAACACGCAAACTCACATTACATGCTTTAGTGGAGTAAAGGAAAGAACACAGAATATTAGAAGAACAACACAAATGTCACTCACATTTTAATTAAGTGTGTAATAAGACCAAACAATTAATCATCATCAACAAACAAAAATAGAAAGAACAATTAATGACCAATCAAATAGAACACAAAAAAAAAATCACATTGCAGTCCATTGATGCAGCAAAGGCAATAACACATAACACTAAGAGAACAACACAACATAACATGTCACTCACATCTCATTTAACAAGGAGCAGACAGAAAATAAAAGTGTCCTAATTTGATGAAAACATCTCTACATTCCAAACCAAACAAAAATAGAAAGAAGGATGAGAAGAAATGAACCTTCTTTTGAAGATCCATGGGTAAATGATTAAGTCTTAGAACTTTAATAAGCCTTAGCGCAGCGAAATCGAGATCTTCAATAACGATGAGCTCATTCGAATCTCCAGATTGATCGGCGGGATCAGATAAAGTATCAGACTTTAAAGAATGGTTTCGTTCTGATTATTATCATGATTATTATTAGAAGAAAAAAATTGATGAAAAAGTCATAAACGAATCAAAGCCACCGCGAGGCACCAATAGAAAGTTCGAGGAGAGAACCGATTTATTCATCGACTTCAATGTTTCTTTTCCTTTCAATATCATAAAATCAATACTCTAACTACATGTGCATAACAAGAGCCACTTTTCTACGCCTTAATTAGGAACCATTCCTTAGGTAACTAGCTATTTTTCTTTTTCTTTACTAATAATTATCTTAAGAAACACATTTAAGACACCCATGATAAACATGATCTAAAGGGATCTGCAGAAAATCTGCAAAAAATCTAGAAAAATATGCTTGTGCCAACTAACATATGAAATCTATGTTTTAGATCAATTTGCAAGGAAAACAATCTCTAACAATCCAGTTAACATATAGTTTTGCTGTTGACATGTAAATATCAAAGTTTTTCTCTATCCAATTGCGACTAATAAATTGTAAATGTAAAGTTTATCATATTAATCTCTATCTAAACAATTTTCAAATGCTGATAACTTCTGTTTTAGCACCTAACAATAAAACATATGTAACCCCAATAAAACATATGGGAAACAAAGCATATTAAACAATGAAACTGGCCGTCCCACATCTAACTTATACCAAAACACTTCATCACAGTGACCCCTAAATAACTGCTACTCTTTCATATTGGCATTTTGTTGGTGGCGCGATTGTGATCCGTTCCACCAGCATCTTCTTTCTTGCTCATCGTCACGGGACACCTCAATTCATTAAAAAGTAAGACAATCTAGAAATATTAATAACTTCTAACATTACAATTATCATCTAACATGTAAAGTAACCGTAATAGCTAGAAATAACACAATAACTTCTAATAACACAATGACCCTCTACCATATGATCTTAACTACTACTAAGTACTTTAGTTGGCACCTAATTACCTACGATAATATTCAATATGATTTAGCCGTTACTTATTATTTTAACTACCTAATAATCCGAATACACTATACTTTTCAATTTAAAGACCTCTATATTTTTACTTTGAGGCTACTACAGATGGTTAATCAAGAAGAATAATACTGGCCGCTAATGATCTACATAGAAATTATGATTTTAGAAATATTGCTAACCTTGGATTTTTTTTGTCTAGTTCTTTAACATGTGTTGGGTTGACATAGTATCTCACTATTTAGAGAGGAGATGGTGGGGTGTCCTGATCTTCTTTTTCTGCTTCTTTGAGATATAATATTTCCAAATGTTTTGTTTTGCAAGAAATCCACTTCTTCCGGATCTAGAGCATTAGTGATGGATTCAGTTTCTTCACCGAAAGCAAAGACGTGTTCTCGAAGATGCAACAACTCCAAATCATCGACTGAAATATCATGAACTTCATTGACTGAAACATTGTCTGTCGCATGAATTCAATATCTTCTGGATATAGAGCGTCTATTAAGGACTCAATCCTCTTCGGTTTGTGGTATGTGTTTATTCTCTCTCCATTGAGTTCTTCACCTACTGCAAACACGCATTCCGACAGTCTCATTTGCTCCATGATGTCGGCTGAAAAAATAGAATCTGGTTTCTCTGAAGAAATTAGAGTTTTTAGAGAGATTATAATGTAAACACTGGGAACAATATTAGTTCAAAGAGTTTAACATCGATGAAACTGTAAAAAAGTGTCTTTTCAATTGCCTTTTTCTGTCAATGATATTGTTATATTTTAATTATTCTGAAAAAGTCTGGAAACCTTAGGATACATATCGGGTAAATGGAGAGATTAGTAATATCGTCTGACACAAACATCAGTGTAGGCGATAGTGTGAGAGTGCTAAGGTGTAGGAGTAATATGGTATAAAAGTAAAATGGTCTTGTAGGGTGGCATTTGCTTAATTTCAGAGATTTCCGTGTATATACGTCTTAATTTCTCTATTTTAATCAACCAAATGTAGTAAAAGCGGAGACTGATTTAAAAGAGAAGTCTCTTGTACTTGTCCAAAACATATATCACAATAATTTGCAGTAAGAATTTAGCGATGAGCGTTTGGGTTAACGGTTCAGGTTATTTGAATTTTGGGATGTTCATGTTGGAGGATCCGTCTAGGAACCAAATCTTTTTCAGATAGGATCAGTTCTGACAGTGTCGGTGATTTTCTATTTTTTATTCAATAATATTAAAGAGAATTATTCTAAAAATCTATTATAAAAATAGGGTGTGCACTTCAATTATTTATCAGTTCGGTTTGGTTATTTTGGTTCTAAATTTTTATCAGTTGAAATAAATCATAATTAATTTGGTTTGGTTCTTTTAAGAGAATTCATGTTTTACAATATAAACGCTTGGTCATGAAAAATCATGTTGGTGGTTGTGATAATAAAAGAAAAATTATGTGAACAAAATCCAAACTAAAACTGAAACAAAACTTTTTTAAAAATTAAACGAAAATCCAAAAAGTCTATAAGAATACATCAAACCAAAATTAATTAAAGTAAATAGAAAATTAAAAAACCAACATCGTTAATAATGTTTCTTAAAAAGAAACTATGTAACTAAATGTAATATAAAAATGAAAAAACCTTTAAAATCACAAAACATTATAAGAACACAATTAAACCAAATTTAACTAAAATAAATAGAAAATTAAAAAAAATCAAGATCGTTAATAAAGTTAATAGTGATTTTAATCTTGGGATTTAGTATATTGTATATTGCTAGTATGTTTAATTCAAATAATAATAAAAACACAATGGTTTCTCGGTTCGGTTCGGTCTAAAACCTAACAAACCGAACCGTTCGGGTAGGGAAAATCTTAAACTATTTGATAATACACTTTGGTTTGGTTTCGAACAATTTTCAGTTCGGTTTTCCTGCCAATCCCTATTAAAAAGGTTGTTGGACCTATATAACCATTTATTATTTATTTTATCTTACTATTAATTATTGTTAGAATACAATATTTTAAAAGAATCATATTATTAATTCTAATTTCATGTGATAAATTTTCTCTAAAAATATTTGATCATCAAACATTATAGTTATTTCAAAATAATGTTATACACCATATCTTATCCTTAATAATGAACCTTCATATAAATTATTAAAATGAGTTAGCATCGATCATACAATATACTATATCATGTTATCTTACATTATACCAAGTGATTATCCCGTACTTGTGCGCCAGAATCAATATTTAAAAAAATATTCAAATTAGAATAGTGGTTGTATATTGACTTTCGATAAAGATAACTTGTATGTAACTTTAGAATTTGTATTTATGAAATAAAGAAAATCATATTAATTATCATTATGTTCTCAAGCAAAGATAGAAATATTTTTACTTATTTAAAAGTTCTAAGTCATTTTAATTTATATTATGAAAATATCATATTAATATCATTGTGTTCCCATCTTAGTTTAATGTGATTTCATGTATAGTGATTTGGATCGGCTCATGTAGGATATGTTGAGCTCCATATATTTTTCTCAAAATTAAAAATAATTTTCTTTTAATTAAGTTAAAATTGAATTATTATTTTTAATTAATTTAGTTTGGTTCATTCTCTTAAATTTTAAATATATATATATATATATATATATATATATGTACATATATATACACAAATTTTATAATTTGATAAATGCTTTTTAGAAAATAAATATAACAAAAATTTCATTAAGAAATACTTTGTAATTTTAATTTATTGTATACTGTATATGTTATTTTGGATAGAATTACAATCTTGTAGTGGATGGTGAAGTATTGATGGCTTCAGAGGGTGGTGGAGCCATCCCCCACTTGCCTTCAGCCTCGGCCGGCTCTATCACCTTAACTGACCCGTCATTTAAACCGACCGCAAACTGGTTTGGCTCTTGCGGGTGAGCTGCCACAACTAGAGGGGACAAACCTTGGTTCTTGTCAAAGCAAAAGAGAGTTAATATAGAGAACCACTATGTCATGTTTCAGAAGTCCTTTCAAGTCTAATAAGAAGATTCAAGAAGGTTTTTGATACTTGCACTGATTTAAATTTAAGAAGCTAATGAAATGTTGGACAAAAGACTTACCCTTGAGGCAGGCGGATGGAGAGATACGGCATCTTAATCTAAGTGTGTCTGCGTCGAACACTCCAATGTTACCATCTTGGGAAGTGGTGTACATCAACTGGCTGTTACATGCATACACTGTATTTCTTTTTTTTTGATCAAAATTTTTTTTGATCAAAATTAATCTTGTATTTCTATTTTTGTTTTTATATATATATCTATACTATTATTTGCAAAGTGATTTTTCGCAACGGAGCTCTCACGTTAAAAGTTAGAGCGGTTAATATCGTTTATACCCTTAATGAATAATTAAAATTTCAATCAATAATTAAACATAAATAAAAAACGAATTTTAATGATTTTAGATTTATCTTTATCTAAAACTATTTTATATTGGGTTATAAAGTATTTATTAACCTTGAAAATAATAATATTTGTGAATATATAATTAATTATAAATTAAAAACGAATTTAAATTATTTGATAATTATCCTTATTTTTTTAAAAATATATTATGTTTATCAACCTTGAAAAATAATTTTATTTGTTAATATATAATGAATTCTAAATTAAAAAGGAATTTCATGAATTTGATAATTATCCTTATCTAAATTTTTATATTGTGTTATAAAGTATTTATTAAGCTTGAAAAATAGTTACATTTGTTAATATATATTTAATTATGTAAAAATCAATTCGCAAAAATTTATGTATAGATAATTTATATTGTGTTATCCAAAATATTACTAAAGATAATTTTATTATACTTCTTTTTTTATGTCTAAAAACATATTAATTTATTACTAAATATAATTTTCACGTTTAATATGTGTAACGAAAATTCTTTATATGATGATGAAAAATTTTAGATATAGAAAGAATTTGTTTAGGTTATTATCAATAATTTTGAGTGTATGAATAATAATTTATTATAAATTATTTAAATTGATTATATATTTCTTTATATATATTAGTAAAATTATTAAGCTTTTTCGCAACGGAGCTCTCACGTTAAAAGTTAGAGTGGTTAATATCGTTTATACCCTTAATGAATAATTAAAAATTTCAATCAATAATTAAACATAAATAAAAAACGAATTTCAATGACTTTAGATTTATCTTTATCTAAAACTATTTTATATTGGGTTATAAAGTCTTCATTAACTTTGAAAATAATTATATTTCTTAATATATAATTAATTATAAATTAAAAACAAATTTCCTTTATTTGATAATTATCCTTATTTTTTTAAAAATATATTATGTTTATCAACCTTGAAAAATAATTATATTTGTTAATATATAATGAATTCTAAATTAAAAACGAATTTCATTGAATTTGATAATTATCCTTATCTAACTTTTATATTGTGTTATAAAGTCTTTATTACCCTTGAAAAATAATTATATGTGTCAATATATATTTAATTATGTAAAAATCAATTCGCAAGAATTTATGTATAGGTAATTTATATTGTGTTATCCAAAATATTACTAAAGATAATTTTATTATACTTATTTTTGTTATGTCTAAAAAATATATTAATTTATTACTAAATATAATTTTCACATTTAATTTGTGTAATGAAAATTCTTTATATGATGATGAAAAATTTTAGATATAGAAAGAATTTGTTTAGGTTATTATCAATAATTTTGAGTGTATGAATAATAATTTATTATAAATTATTTAAATTGATTATATATTTGTTTATAGATATTAGTAAAATTATTAAGTCCGCAAGTGCGGGCAAAACACCTAGTATATATATAAACTTAGAGAGATGATCTTATACGTACCTGTCGGATACATTCCATCCTGGACGCATCAAATATTGCTAGTTGTGTCTCGTGGACTGCCAGGATACGGATCTGATCCACAGGAAACTGAACACGCGTGTCTCCATTGGCGGCTTTTCCTGCTGGCATTTGTATTGCAACTGATTTTCTCTTCTCCCATGTGTCAATGCTCCAAAAGCATATCTAAGACAAGATAGAGTTAACATCCTCCTAAACCGGATAATCGAACGGGTTGAGAATTTTTTACTAAAGGACAGTAACAAGACGCAGCATTACACATCTGTGCATCAGCACCGGATGAAACCAAGATGTTGAGGGTTGTAGAAAATGCTAATCCGGTGATGCGTTTCTGGTGACCCTTTAGCTTTGATTTGACCTGATGAAACACAAATGCAAGTGGAGTGAGTTCGTTCATATAGATTTGAGACACCATCTAGCAGGGGAAAAAATCAATTGTGAAGCTATAACAACCATTTCATTAGGAAATGGTTAACAAGTTTTTCCTCTTCATACATCCTAAAAACTACTTAAGTTGTTAGGGTTGGCACTATCGACTACTTACCTCATCCACTCGGACGTTGTAGATATCAATCGTGGAATCCTCCATTCCAATGGCAATTATGTTGTTGTCCTGAGGATGGAACGCCAAAAATATTGATGCAGGTGGAGGTGACATGAATGTTGTCATCAACTATAAGGCCAACAGGTTTCTTTAAATATTAAAAACACCAAAAGAGTTTTCTAGCATATTAGTGTGCAAACATTTTCAGCTACAGCTTGTGGCTTTGGTAATCTTTTAAAGGAAGATATATATACCTTAAAAGTCATCATGCTGAACAACGAGACTTTTCCTCCAGCAGCCGACATGACATATGAGTCGTTCTTAGAAAGAGCGATGCATGGGTTGGCCTCTTCAAGGTTTACACCAGAGACATAGTTGGTCATGAGAAGACCACTGTTTGGTTGCCAATGCTGAAGAACAGCAGCAGCAGTTGCCTGCATGATAAACGGTACTTAAATAAAGCAGCACAAATACTGCATTGAGCTCTCTCTAACCCTATTTTATTATTACCTTTCCACTAGGGTTTTGTTCATTGCGAACCCACTTCCAGAGCCTCTGAATACCGTTAAAACATAGTGCCAAGATTCCAGCGCCGGAATTCGTATACAGAAGCCGAACGACCTAATAAGGGATGCAACAGGAGAAACATAAGCCTCTTTTTTTCTATAAAACATATATCTGGTAAAGCTAATTGCACAAACCTTTGTGGAAGAACCAGTGGTATCGGGTAAAGTGGCCTGGCGACACTGGGCAGCCAGGCAGGGTCCAAAATTTCAGCTAATTGCCAGGGTTTTGGTTTGTCTGTTGAATGGTCATCGATTCTTGCCTTTGGGGGATCAATTCCAACTCCGTTCTTGAGGGTTTGCCACAAAAAAAATAACAATCAACACATGGAATTTAATTTCATTTCTCAACATTAAAATAGTGATTAATAAAAATGGCTAAAGAATATAACATTTGATGTATGATTTACCAGTATTGGAGAGGGTCTAACAGGAGAGCCTCGTTCAGCTTTACAGCTGACAGATGCAACAGGAGCACCAGGAACCTAACAGAATAACAAAAGGTGTAAACGAGGAAGCTAGCTACAACGGTGGTTGTAAATAAAGGAAATATATACCACAAAGTTGGGAAACATTACAGCTTTAATTAAAGAAGAATCGGCTGGAATCCTCATCTTTTCAAAAGCTGAAGTTTCCACGGCTCTCAGAGATAGCTTGGTTTGCTAGGATCTTAAATCCGTTGTCTGCCGTAGTTACGGCTAGAAGATTTCCTTCCCTGTTAAATCTCAAACGAGGAAGAGCCTGAAGTTGAAACAAGTTAGCATACAAATCTGAAAATACGAACACCTAAGTAAAGTGAAGAATCTGTGTGACTAACTGGAAGTCCACCCTCAGCATCAGTGCTAGTCAGAACATTGATGTTGTCCATATCCCAGAACTTGATTTGCCCATCTTCACAAACAGCCAGAAAGTGGTTCTTTGAGGTATCGAACTGAACATTACCCGCCAACTTTTTCTGAAACCCATGATAGGTCCTTTTAATTGATCCTTCACTTTTGTTCCACTCAACTAGGAAAAAATATCCATCTTTACTCGTTCCACAAGAGAACAATCTGAAGAAGAAAGTACACCACAATTATATAACATAAGAAAGAACTAATGCAGAGAAATGCAAAGGTATTTACGAAAAAAATAGATTGTTACTGAATCAGCAAATAAATGCAGGGCATTTGGGAGAGAAAATCTGTATTCAGGGGAAAAAGAGACTAGAAACTCAAGGAGAAAACTCAGTATCTTCAAGCATAGATAAATCTCAATGATGAACTTCAACATTTTAGAAACTAGGTAAGAAGAATTAAGAATGACTTGATAAAGCCGTATGCGGGACATTGGAATTTTTTAAAATGAATTTTGGATCGTACCTGGTCCCATCAGCGCTATAAAGCATTGTGGTACACCATTTACCAGGAGCATCATAGTCAACTCTGAAACCCATATTATCATAAAGCCAGGCCTTTATTTTCCCATCTATAGCCGTTGAAAATATGAACTGAAATCCAAATAAGAACGTGATATATTTTGAGCAGAATACCAATGGCAGAATCTACTGTAGGATATATGTCATCTACTAGGGTGCAACTGGAATCCATTTTTATGGAATAAAATCTTCTTATATTCCTCAAGATATTCACTAGTTAAAATAAAAAAAATGGAAGGGGTATTCAATTTCATTTCATAGGTAATTCCAAAATAAATAAAAAAAATTCTTTGAAAAATCTTCCAGGTTAAAAAATATTGATTTAAGTAAATAGCTAAATATGTTAATTAGTATTCCTTTTATTAGTGTTCGTCAAACAGATGGGAAAATAGTATCATAGATGATATAATACCACACCTGAATGTTCTCTTTGTGATGATGGCAAATGGAATACACAGGAGCATCGTGACCTTCAAAGGTAGAATGCTTCCGACCTGAAACGTCCCATACATGTTCCACATCAATCAAGTTAGAAAGCTTCTAACAAGGAAACCCTCTGATTCATTTCCTCACCTTGATTAACTTATCATCTCCGCAAGTAACTACAAACAACTATCTGTTTGGATTAGCAAAAGCCAAGTCGTTCACAGCACCCACATGTGCATTAACCTGTGAGAAAAAACGTGATCTAAGTTAATGGGATATTATTACATCGCATTGCTTATCGTACGGATCAAACGTATGCTCACCTCAGCATGCTGGCGAAGATTGTTTGGTCCAGAGAAAGCATACAAGTGAATAAGATGTTTCTTATATGCAACCCCAACATTAAAAAGAGATTGAGACCAGAGACCAGTTAAAATCCCACAATGCATGAAACAGAATTTACCAATGAAATTTACATCTGGACTCCATGCAACGCGGGTGACAGACATTGGTGTTTCTTAAGCTATCAAAGCCTGAATGAGTCCCAACAATGACAAGGATACGATTTTTGCACAACAAATAGTTTGCTGATACTTTTTTTGTCTATCACTACAGATCTCACAGCCATATGGTTGAAATCAAGACTTTTAGATCAAACACATAAGCTATAAAATTAATAGTAACGACAAACCTGAAACTGTGTGCAATTATCCATATCCCATATTTTGAATCGCCTTGTAACCAGCTTCTCTCGACTAGCTAGTTCCCATAATGTGATTTCTCCGGTGGAAGATCCGACTAGTAGAACTCAAATGGTCATCAGAAATCCAAAGAACAGATAACAGGAATGTAACATGAAGGCGTTATAAGTTTCAAACCATCATACCAAGAAGTAACGTATTTTGCATAGGGTGAAACTCCATGCTTGTCACAATGGACCCTTGATGACACGCTAGAGCCGCCTTTAATGGCAAGTCTTCCAGCGACAATGGAGCATGCTGCCTAGGTGCAGGATATGTCACCTGGAAAATGAATAATGGTTACAACTTTTGAGAAAATGAATAATGGTTACAACTTTTGAGAAAATGCAAGAATCATACAAACAACTTTCCAGAAAAGGAAAAAAAAATTGTGTTACCTCCTCTACAGATGGGTCGGGCGAAGACGATTCATTAGTTCATGATCTGGATTCTGATAGTCTACTACACCTGGGTTTGCTGGTGGTGTTCTAGGTCGCTTCAAGATTGACACTTTTTGAAAGAATAGTTAGTCTAAGAAGGAAATTGATAGCTTCTGGAAAGTCGAGAAGAAATAAATGTCGAAGATCTTTCACAAACTAACCTTGATTCTGAGGAAGAGGAATAGACGCAGGAGTGAAAACGACAGCTTGGACGGTAGAAGCACCAGAGGCAGCAGCCATCCAGCTAGCTAAAGCGCCAGCATTAGCAGCAGCAACAGCCGCACCAGAAGAAAAGGGCTACATTTAGCACAAAGGTCCTCAAATATTAAGATTTCTAAGATTCAAAAAACATGAAAAAACAGTCAAACATTGAGGTTTCTTACACCATGAGCTCCAAGCGACGGAAGATCTGTTGGCTTTGTCAAAGTTATAACTGGTTGACTGACTGGTGAAGGTGCCAGAGGACCATTGGGAACTGCGCATGTGTGATCTGTGAATAGAGTTTTAATATCTGGGTTTGGCCTAGGATTCTTGCACAACTGGTGCTGCCAATTAAGGCTGCAAGAGAACATGAACACAATGAATCCCCCATCAATAAAGTCATGCAACCATAGCCGGCAACATATACTATGGACGTGAGGAGAAAACAAGAAACACACCTTTGGTTAATCAGAGTCCGCAGTCTCGAAGATCTCAAAGTAGGAAACGTCAATTTGTCACGCAAAAGAGGATTTGCTTCGATTAGTTTTTTCAGTTCTCTTTAACATTATGGTCCGAGCAGTTTTTATTAAGTTAGATGGGCTTCCAACCTAAAACCAATTGGTGATAAGTGGATTGACCCATATATCTTATATACTAGATAGAATCCCTTCCAACTTCCGATGTGGGACACTTTGTGTCTAATACGCCCCCTCAAGATGATGGCTCTCTGGCATCAATCTCGGAATGTTCGGGCAAGGATCGATGGGCCGACTTTGGGCTGGATCGATAAGGATCGGGTTGGACTGCGTGGATCGTGGGATCTGATACCATATTAAGTTAGATGGGCTTCCAACCTAAAACCAATTGGTGATAAGTGGATTGACCCATCTATCTTATATACTAGATAGAATCTCTTCCAACTTCCGATGTGGGACACTTTGTGTCTAATAGTTTTAGTATCTCCATATTTTGAAAGCTGATCATTTTCCCTGCATTTGATAGAGAATCAAATTCGTGAATATCATTGATGTCAAATTCAGTGCTCAAAAAGCAAACAATTAAGAATGAAGTGGAGTATCACCCTCTTTCACATTCCTATTGACTTTAACTGGAAAAAGATCTTGAAATTTAACATATATCTTAACCAGGAAAAGTCTACAGAGCTTAAAACTCGACTTGAACTGACATTAATCAAGTCTCTTATTTTCATAGTTTCCAAAACTCCTTTTCCACCACAACAGAAACGTCCTAGATTAAGTAGACATCCATATCTCGTACCTGAAGTTGTGCAAAGTCAAAAGTTGAGTAATTTCTTTGTAGAGTTCCTCGTTGAAAGTTGAGAAGACTCTCAAATCCTGCACCAATATCTCAACTGCTTTTGCCTTATCTTGCCTGTAGAAAGAAACAACAGATGATATATATCACACTCTGAAACCACCAAACAAGAAGTAAAAACAGATAGGCATAACTTTGTTTTTATATACATACTTATCAAGAGCGTCGAGATATTTCTGCTTCCTAATCTCAGAGAAAATCTTCATGGAGTATATGTTATCATCAAGCTTGGTAAAACCAGACAAGTACTTCTCAATTTCATCCCACTCTCCACCAAGAACTTTCTCATCAAAATACTTTGTATTGAAGAAGAATCCAGACTCTTTCTCCAGCCTACAAGATAACAAAGAACACTTACCAAATCAGACACAAGTATTTCTTTCATTTAATTCAACTTGTTGTGAACGGTTTAAAAAAAAATCAAATTAGTTTTCTACAGTGTTCCAAAAACTACGTGTCCGCCTAGTCAGCAAATCGGATCTAAACTAAACGAATTTTCAAGAACAATTTTTTAAAAAGTTGGTTTAGAAGCTCAAAAAACCGGTCTAATCATCCGACTAATCAATAATCTCATATAAAACGTCTAACTACTACTTAGCAGCTATTAACTAAGATTAAAGATTCAAACACAACTTACATAAAAGCAAATATATCAGTTTTATATACTAATCAAATTTTCAGCAACAGAGTAATATAAATCAGAGAACATAGTAACATACTATATAATATACAAATATACGAACCTGTTCACAGACTCTTTGAATTTCTCTTCCTCGAGAAACTGAAGTATGAGAAACACGAGCTCTCGGCTTAACGACGACATGATTTGAAGCTCGGAATCTCAAATCAGACGTCAGAGCAAGACGATAACACACGATTACGTACGAATCCGAGCTCGGTGAGAGAGCTCTGAAGAATACGAACGGAATCGAGAAATTTCTAGAGTTTTGAAAGAGCTGAAAATGGAGAGAATTAAACAAAAAAGGAGGAAGAGAGGGGGGGGAAAGAAACTTGACCTCGCTTTTGTATTCTGCAGAGAAAGGTCTTCCATTATCTTACCGACTTATCAGATATAAGCGGAGCTAGCTTCGGTGATATGTAGTTTCGTTTATATGAGAGGTGGAGTGAGTTATCGTGAAATGGAGTGATACGCGGGGTTCGAGATTGAGTGGCGGATTCGAAAACAAAATTTAAATGAGGTTGAATATTCTGCACTCATGTCCATTCTGGTCCCCACGTTTCTCTTTCTTGTGATGTCCCTCTCAGCTTTCGATGCGCTCTTGTTGTTTTTTTTTGGCTTTTTCTTCTTCTTTTCTACTTATATTTTTAAACTCCTAGAACGTGTCAGGTACTTACACAGAATACAATGAAATTATTTTATGACATCCTTGATGGGCCTTGAGAGTTTTGGGTAATTTTAATGGGTTAGGCCATAAGAAGCCTTGCTTCCATATATGCTGGGTTAGATAATAACAAATTATACTGCATGGGTCTGCATTAAGTGGATAGCAAAAAGATGGTAGTTAATTGGCTTGAGGTCTCATGAGTTTTGAACTACTATAAAGAATATGCAGACTGGCTTTTTATGTTTTTGCTGTCCTTGAAAATATTAACCAGTCTCATCGTAGAATTACGTTAAAGGTACACGAATTTTGATTGATACCCCTAAAATTTGTTATGACTGTAGCTCTAAAATTTTAGCTGTAGAAAAAATGTTTTAGTTTTTTGTTGTTGTAGTTTTAGATTTTATTGCTGTATATTATACGGAAAGCTCAAAAAATTGCTTTGAATATTTGGCTCTAGAAAGCACTTGTACAGCTGTAGATTATTTAAGGAGCTGTGGTTTTTACAAAATCATTAAAGCTTGATTGCTGTGAATTTGATGCTTTAGAAATACATGGTGCTCTGTAGAGCACCTACAGCCATTACCAATCACACTCTAAACTCAAGTATTTGAATCTTATATAAAATATACAAGAGAATAATCATAAGCAACATTTTCTTTATTCAAGGACCAAGGTTAACGTTGTTGGCGTCTTAAATTTGGTAGGTTGTTTTAATTTCCTTGGCTTATCCAGATAAAATATGATCCGTATCTTCTTCGCTAGATTCTCGAGGGTTAAAAGGTATGCTAACGTTGTTCAAAAAAAAAAAAAAGGTATGCTAATATCTTGGCTCTCGAACAGAAACTACTAGTTTGTTTTTTTTTTTTCTGGATTAAATATAAGAGGTGTCAAGACAAAGCCCGACTAATTATGTTCATATAGACCGTTCTACTATCGCAAACCCCGATTACTCTACGTGGGAGTTAGAGATCCATGCCGTCTCACGCAGGGTTGGCCTATCCCAACAGAGGGTCCTATTTCAATTTGAAAATAAACCCTTTTCATTTTATAATTTTTTTTTTATCTAAGCCTAAAAATTTCATATAATATTTTGGACGCTAAACAGTGGCTTACTTGACATGTGTCCTGGGCCGGGTCTGGCCTCACCACACATGGAACTAGCAATTTTGCACTAAAGAGGAATCGTTTGTATACCTTATCCTCCATTTCTATTCTTCTTCGTCATCTCTCTCACATGCAACACGTTCATAATGCTACGACATTTATGTAAGAATTTGCGTTGTAAATAGTGTTGCCTTTGTGACATTCATATTGAAAGTTAAAAAGCACTTTTTGTCGCAGATTCATACATCTCATTGTGTTCTGATCAGCGTTAGAACTTTCATGACTTTAGAGAACTACAAAGCAAGTCTAAATTTTACCAATCAGACTTTTTTCACAATATTTGCTATTCTAAAGTCGAAACAGTCATTTTAAGTATCTATCTTCTCTTTCATGCTGTATTTCAATTAAACGTGACTTTTACAAGCTATTAATTATATTTATTACACAATAACTATATAACTTTTATACAAAATATATTAATCATCATAAATATTTTTTGTGAATAAATTTTATATTTTTATTCTTGTTATTTTAATTATTTTTGATGTCTTATATGTATATATATATATATATATATATATATATATATATATATATCTTTCATTAGTAATATAATTTTACATCATTCAATGAAATATTAAAGTAATATTCACATATTCTATATTTTAAAATATTAATAAGTTTTTTTATATATATATAACCTAACAATCAAGTTTATAAAGCCAAAATCTCTAAAGTCCTAATCCTAAAACGAAAGTCTAAAACCAAATTCATTACAATCGGAGCCTGAGTTATAAACTGAAAAAAAGAATGAAACATTTTTTCAATTAAAAAGTGTTGTTACAATACATATAGGGGTAATTGTGAAATAATAAAAAAAGAAATAGTTTTTGAGAGAGGATGGAGAGAGATACGAAGAGAAAAGAGGAAAGAAAATGAGATTTTTGTTAGTTTGTTTATTTTGATTTTTGGATTATTGATGCAGTTTCTGATAAATATATCTTTGTTTTGAACATCAAAAGAACACTGAAGAAACCGTAAAATATTTTGCTTCAACATAAGAGCATCCCCCATCAGGTAAAACTCCACTTGGAGCTTTTAAAATGCAAGATATTAATTTTTAATAAAATCTAGTTAACTAATTAAGATTATTTTTCTTTTTTAAAGCATAGCTAATGAAAAACAAACATTTGGAGCATGAGTATTTAATGGGGTCTTGCAGACCTCTTACTTAAAAAAAAATTAGGTGACTGGTCCGCACCTTGTGTGGACATGAAAATATACTGTGATATTGGTTGAGTTGGATTTTGATGGAAACGGACCTTCAATAGTAAACTCATTGATTTCCATGTATTGCAAGTGCAAGGAAATTGATACTGACATATACCATGCATCTTTAATGTGGAAGAAAGTGGGACGAATGGTTGTTTCAATGCTGAGATAGTGTCTGCTCAAATCTGCTGGTTGCAGTATGGTAGAGATATAGAACAAGTCACATAATTTTGTTTTCAGAAGCACCCTGTGCAATTTGTTAAACTATTCAAAATATGAGAAAACTAATAGTGTTCAATTTTAGAAGGAAAAAAAAATATTATCACTAAGTGAAATTGTGTTGTATAAATTATGTAATTGTATATTTTAGGTGAAATATGAAATTTATGTTTTTATATATTTTTAAAAACAGTGGCATATTAAAAGAAAATATGATAAAAATTGAAATATAATTCATAAGTAATATAAAATAAGAAGCACAATTCTCGATAAAAAAAGTTCCCATCAAAACCTGCAAAAAATTATTTAATTTTGTTAGCAATCTTACACTATCAAATAGCCTAATAGTTTTCTAAATTTTATTGAGACGAAAACTATATTAAATTGACATACCATTATCGATATAGTCTTAAAACTGGTTTGTAGTCAACTACAACCCATCTTTCGTAAGAGATTATTCTATCTGTTAATAGAAGAAAAAAATGTAATAATTCAAAATTTCTATCGAATAAAAATAGACTAAAATTGCGTACCATTCAATATGAAATATTCTAAAAAAACTTGTTTGTAGACAATATTCATTGTTTTTGTCTGCGGCTTCCCTTGTTTATCCGTTATTAGGCAGAAAGTGCAACGTATAACTGGCCATGGGAGAACACTGGTCTAGGTAGAAACATACCAACATTTTCCAGCATTTGATCTTGATTTTTATTGATAGTCATCGCAAAAGCCAACGCAACTGGAAACTATCTTCGTCACATTCTGAAGGGAAACTTTGTGTCAGGTGGCGTTACGAACATTCTCGGGATCCAAACTGACTCTCCGGAAATATCGCTGTCCGTTATAATTCTACATTGTATCACATGGGGCAATAACTGAGTAACAATCAGCCTAGTACCATTGCGCCATATGTAACATCGATGTTACGAAGACACATGATATAAGCACCAACCTTGAGCTTTAAACAATGTCTAGGCAGTCCAGCGACTTTAACACTGTTCAAAAACTCTGCAGGATATACCACATTTTCTTCTATATCAACATCAGAAGGTATAATGCTGTCAGAGCTAAGGTAAACCTTCTCTTCACCTGAAAGTGTTACATCTAAATCATTTTCTTTACATACATATAAATAGTTAGTAGAACATAAGAGTTAATGATAAAAGTTGTTACCTGGCAACTGAGAAAGCATGCAATTATTTATCTTATCCACTTCATCATTTTTGAGAGTCAGAATGGCTTAATGTCTATACAAATCCTTATCTGTTAACGTCCGAAAACATTGTCCATAAACCTCTTTTGTAATAGTTTGAATAGGATCTTTTTCGCTATTTGTTATCAGCAAATCCACATGGATGTCAATCCAACTTGGCCGTTGTTAGGCAAATTTAGTTTTCCATCTCCTATATCCAAAATCCATTTTGAGAAAGATTCAAGATATTTTTCTGCATCATCAGTAAGACCAGCAAGCAATCTCATGTTTTTTGTTAGCTTCAAAACTTTGCAGTGCTCCCAAAGATATGAGGAATTCAGAGCCGCCAAAACAGTCTTTGCTTTACCTCCTCCAGGTATAACCGATAAAATCTGTCTGAAATCACCACCAAAACAACAACTTTACCACCAAAAGGCTTGTCTTCAGAAGATCTAATAATATCAAGCATACTGTGGTCCAAAGTCTCGAAACAGTGCCTGCTCATAATAGGCGTCTCATCCCATACAATTAGCTTTGCCGCTTTAACCCAGTTCTGCACGATCTGATCATGGCTCCATTTTCTTGCAAGTACTGAATTCATCTGCGTCTATCGCAATACCAAATCTGGAATGTGCAGTTCTACCTCCTTCCAACAATAATGCAGCGATTCCACTGGATGCTGTATTTAGG